TTTTGAGATTGGTGCCCATAAACAAAGTTGGGTAGGTCGAGCACATTCTCAGAAAATTCTCTGTGTGTATTCTGCAGTAGAGCCTCGTGGGTATCTTCAGTTTAGATTGTGGCTAATCAGGAGCTGCAGAGTAGTCCAAGAGAATGGTGTTCTGTGGGCATTCCCATGGGCCACACTTGTGTGATTGATCTGTGTTCCTCAAAGATATATGTTTAAGGATTTTCCTGTACCAATTAAATAGGAAATTTTCCATGAGAAAAATGGGAGGAAAAACAGTAATTTCATTTCTTTTACTCTATAGGACTTCTTTTTGTTTTGTGTGGATTTACTAACCAGGCTTGTTTAGGCTTGCTATTCAACAACTTAGTTTCAAATGAAGGAAGGAGACTATTAGAGGAAAAAATGCAAGTTTAGTAAGATCATATTCCAGTCTGACTAGAAATGCTAGTTCAGATTTATTATAAGTACATAAAATACCTTTATTATTTCTGCTAAGTTATCATTTAAAACTAGAGCACAGAGAAAGTGTAACTTTTGATGTAGAGGAGGTATGTAAGTGCTACAGTTATATAGCATCTCTTTAGTGCCTCTTCTGTTCCGGTCAGGTGCTTTGATTATACCACCCTGTTTATGTAAACTCTTCATCTTGCCCAGGTTTGATGAAAGGAATTAGTGGTGTCAGGATAAGGCATTAAAGACACACCTGTTTTCTTCACTGTTAGAGGTCTTAAGAGAAATGTTTGAGGACTTCAGTTGTGTTTCAGATTTTAGAGTTATTGAAGAGGTTTTAGCATTTTATGGGAGGACAGAATGATTTTTTTTTCCATGCTAGAGGGTCTCACAGTTCTGGTTTAGTGAAGAGGGCCAAGTGAGTTGGAGGAAAAGCAGATTCATAGCAGTAGCTGTTGAAAATACTAATCCATTACAGTGAGTTTACTTTTTGTCTTAGTTATTTTATGTAGGACTTTTTCAAGTGTATACTAATGTTCACTGGATACTAATAATCTATCACTGTATACATAAAGCTTGGGTTAAAAATACGTGAATGAGGATTAAAAACAGTAAGTAAATCAGGAGCATATCTAGATAGGGGCCCACAAAGTCGAGGCGAAACGTATAACATATCTGATATTTTTGTCTATTTGTCACTCTTTTAAGCTAGGGAGAAAAACGAGAAGATTTATTTAACACTCAATGTTGTTGTTGCTATTTTTTAAAAAAAATTTTATTACTTATTTTACTTTTGGCTGCGTTGGGTCTTTGTTGCTGCACGTGAACTTTTCTCTAGTTGTGGCAAGCGGGGGCTACTCTTCGTTGCGGTGCGTGGGCTTCTCATTGTGGTGGCTTCTCTTGTTGCGGAGCATGGGCTGTAGGCACGCAGGCTTCAGTAGTTGTGGCACGTGGGCTCAGTAGATGTGGCTCACGGGCTCTAGAGCGCAGCCCCAGTAGTTGTGGCACATGGGCTTAGTTGCTCTGTGACATGTGGGATCTTCCTGGACCAGGGCTTGAACCCGTGTCCCCTGCATCGACAGGCGGATTCTTAACCACTGCGCCACCAGGGAAGCCCATGTTGTTGTTATTCTAAAACATAAAGGTTATAAAGGAATTAATAGCGGGGACTGTCAGAGAATCAGAATGCACCTCCACATCTGTATCTAAGGGGTTATTAAATCTGCTTACACATTAGTAGTCAGGAAGAGCCTTGGACGTCGTATACAAATTCCAGGTTTCAATGCATTATTAAAATGCATAAAACCTCTAAAATGTAGGAATGTGGTGGTTAACCATTAAACCAAAGTGCTTTGGTGTGTTTACCACAAATGCAGGAAAGCCATTCTTCCCTTTGTAGCCACGGAATTTGTCTTATTAAATAAGATTTTGTATTTATAGTTTTTTTCTGGCAATCAACTCCTAATAAAAATTTATAGTACAAATAATTGAGAACCACTTCTGCCTCGTTTTATACTTTACTGTTTCTAAGAATGAAGAGTCACAAAATCTTAAATTAGGAAATTGTCAGAAATAGAAGAGACTTTACAGAGAGCTTAAAGACATTCAGAAGGGTTTGGTTTATCAGTTGAAGACAGTCATTTGATTCCATTTTTGTGGACTTCCGTCAGTCAAGCAAATCTGTCTCCTGACGGTATTAAATCTTGTCTGTTCATCCGTACTTGCAGTCTACTGTGATGCCTGGCGCAGAGTTTTGTATTGTTTTGTTTTGTTTTTGGCTGTGGGCCACGCAGCCTGCGGGGTCTTAGTTCCCCAACCAGGGATCGAACCTGGGGCCCCCCCCCCCACCATCAGTGGAAGTGTGGAGTCCTAACCACTGGACCACCAGAGAATTCCCTGGCATAGTGTTTTATTAATTCTTTTATTGAAGAGGAAGTTACATGACTTGCTAGATCTAAAGGAAGACAGTGGCCTTAGTAAGATGCTATAGACTATCTAACTTTCTGTCTCCTAGAGCTAGCTTCAAAAAAGAAGTAGAATATATTTGATTTTTAGGTGTAATTTAGACTTTGCAAAGGGACCAGGATTAGTGTCTGTTTCTGCTGTTTCTGCGTGGCTCTCCAGGTCTGGTTCTTTATCTTCAAATTGTGAAAGATAATAGTACCTAATTCATAGGACTGTTTTGAGGAATAAATAAAAGAATACATTAAAAATACTTAGCACTGGGACTTCCTGGTGGCGCAGTGGATAAGAATCCACCTGCCAATGCAGGGGACATGGGTCCCTGGTCTGGGAAGATCCCACATGCCACAGAGCAACTAAGCCCGTATGCCACAACTGCTGAAGCCCGCGTGCCTAGAGCCCGTGCTCTGCAACAAGAGAAGCCACTGCAATGAGAAGCCTGTGCACTACAATGAAGAGTAGTCCCTGCTCGCCGCAGCTAGAGAAAGCCTGTGCACAACAACAAAGACCCAATGCAGCCAAAAATAAATAAATAAATAAATAAATAAATAAATAAATAAATTTATTAAAGAAAAAACATATACTGAGTACTCATTATATTCCAAACACAGTGCTAAGTATTTTTTTTTTTTTAATCAGTGATAATTCTGTCTTACCTTTGGTCAAACCATATAACCTCCCTGGACTAACTACTAGTCCTTCTGTGAAATGAAAGATTGAGGCTAGATAGTGCTGAATTCCCTTCAGCATTATTTCTGAAAATGCAAGACTTTAATGTAGTCCCTATTTAACTACACTTTATTAAGTAATTAATAAATATGAAAAATTGTTTAAACTCATTATATTAAGTAATTAATAAACATGAAAAGTTATTTAGAAATTGTTTAAAGTCATCAAAACCATAAATTAAATCAAGAGGCCAATTTACCTATCAAATTAGCAAATGTTTTTAACTTTTAATATTCCTTTTTTATTTAGTATAGTTGATTTACAATATTAGTTATTACAAGATAATGGCTATAATTCCCTGTGCTATACAATATATCCTTGTTGCTTATATCTTTTTAAATATTTTAATTTAATTAATTTATTTATACAGCAGGTTCTTATTAGTCATCAGTTTTATACACATCAGTGTATACATGTCAGTCCCAATCGCCTGATTCAGCACACCACCATCCCCACCCCCCCACCGCTTTCCCCCCTTGGTGTCCATACGTTTATTCTCTACATCTGTGTCTCAACTTCTGCCCTGCAAACCGGTTCATCTGTACCATTTTTCTAGGTTCCACATACATGCGTTAATATACGATATTTGTTTTTCTCTTTCTGACTTCACTCTGTATGACAGTCTCTAGATCCATCCACGTCTCAACAAATGACTCAATTTTATTCCTTTTTATGGCTACTATTCCACTGTATGTATGTACCACAACTTCTTTATCCATTCATCTGTTGATGGGCATTTAGGTTGCTTCCATGTCCTGGCTATTGTAAATAGTGCTGCAGTGAACATTGGGGTGCGTGTGTCTTTTTTGTTTTGTTTTGTTTTTGTTGCGGAGCACAGGCTCCTGACGCACAGGCTCAGTGGCCATGGCTCACGGGCCCAGCCGCTCCGCGGCATGTGGGATCCTCCTGGACTGGGGCACAAACCCGTGTCCCCTGCATCGGCAGGCGGACTCGCAACCACTGTGCCACCAGGGAAGCCCGCGTGTGTCTTTTTGAATTATGGTTTTCTCTGGGTATATACCCAGTAGTGGGATTGCTGGGTCATATGGTAATTCTATTTTTAGTTTTTTAAGGAACCTCCATACTGTTCTCCATAGTGGCTGTATCAGTTTACATTCCCACCAACAGTACAAGAGGGTTCCCTTTTCTCCACACCCTCTCCAGCATTTGTTGTTTGTAGATTATTCATTTACTTGTTTTTTGGTCACATTGGGTCTTCATTGCTGCACGCGGGCTTTCTCTAGTTGTGGCGAGCGGGGGCTGCTCTTCCTTGTAGTGCGCGGGCTTTCTCTATTTGTGGCGAGCGGGGGCTGCTCTTCCTTGCAGTGCACGGGCTTCTCATTGTGGTGGCTTCTCTTGTTGCGGAGCATGGGTTCTAGGCATGCGGGCCTCAGTAGTTATGGCTCGCGAGCTCTAGAACGCAGGCTCAGTAGTTGTGGTGCGTGGCCTTAGGTGCTCCGCGGCATGTGGGATCTTCCTGGACCAGGGCTCGAACCAGTGTCCTCTGCATTGGCAGGAGGATTCTTAACCACTGCGCCACCAGGGAAGTCCCCAGTATATGGTTTTAAAGAGAAAAAAATAAAATCCCCGCATGCATGGGGGTCTTTGTGCTGCCTTTTTCTTATCCTTTGGGTATTTCAGTCTCCTCTGGTCCTCTGTGGACTATATGTGGCATTAAGGATGGCATGTCCTCCTGCAGTCAGTGTGGGCAGCATCTAGAAACCCGTGCTTTCCCTAAGGTAGAATTAATTGGTTCCAAATAGTCCAAAGGACTAGACACATGGAAAAGATGAGATTGACATGGTTTTAAAAGGTTGTTCTCTTTACATGCTTTTTTTTTTTCATGTTTTTTTTAACAGTGCCTTTGAGGATGAGACCATGAAGCTCCGGCAGCTGAAACTGGATAATCAGGTGAGCAGAGTCTCCTCTCTTGAAAGATGTGGACAGCTATACTGACCATGAAGCTGATGGTCTGGACTTTGGGCTCTGGCAAGACCCACATGCCTTGAGGACATCAGCATTAAAACTGGCCTTAGATTTACAATCACTAAAATCCCTTGGCAGCTGTCATAAGAATTAGGAAAATGTTGACATTGTATTTCTGTGTAGTTAATTTGATCCTGCTGTGCCTTAAACACCTCTCTGCACTGTAATTTCATGTAACTACAAGATCTTTTCCTTATCTTAAAATGCAAATCTGAAAATGGTACTGTGCTGCTTAAAAGCCTCTGTTGTCTACAGAATACTTTTCTTCACAGCACTGGTCCCACTTTTCACTTATGCATTATTATTATCTTTTTTTTGCACTGATTTGACTTATGTTCATTTCCTCCATTAGACTAAGCTCCATGAGAACAGGAACTGAGTCTGTTAATGATGACCATTATATCAGAAGTTCCTGGCCTAGGGCTGGGCCCATAGTAGTCCTTCATTAAATGTTTGAATGAAGGAAGGAATAAATGAACAGTTTTGTATTGTTACATGATGTGATCATAATGATAAGTCAGTTTAGAACCTATACCCAACATATATTACTTCCATATGAATGTTTTCTAATTCAGGAAATTCTGTAGGTCCAGGCTGTGATGTAGGATCATTAACAATCAGTGTCTAGAGTGGTAGGTGACTAAAAATACCTCCAAAGTTTTGTCTTGCTTTTTTATGTTGCTGTTGGACCTCGTAACGGGACTTGGAGTGTAGTAAATTACTTTAAAGGTGGAATCACTACAAACTAGTTACGAGGTCTCCATGGGGACGCGCCTGGGACCATCTGGCCTCCAGGGCCCCTCCCAAGCCCTTGGTGTCCATGGTGCCTCCATGGGGCCTGTCACCAAGTCCACCGCCTCTCAGGCCACCACCTGGGAGGCCTTCTCCTGTGTGCCTGGAACGGAGCGTGGCCCAGTGGTCTTCAGGGACCCTCCGCTTCAAGGTGGTGGCAGTTGCCTTGGTGGTCAGCACCACTCAGCCTGCTCTGCCCACAGCCCTCCTCCCTGGCTGGGCTCGGCCTCGCCGCCTCTGGACGAGGCCCGGTGGTGGTGCGCACCATTCGCCCTGCCCACCTCCAGGTGTCCTGGCCCAGGGAGCCCAGCAGTAGCAGCTTCATGGACAGGCAGGCTTCCTCACAACCACTGCTGTCATCCTTTAAGGAGACTGGGGCACATTTTAAGCAAATCTGGTGTTGCACAGCAGGGTAGGAAACGGCCACAAGAGACTGCCTGCATCTCCCTGTGCAGGGCATGTGGCCTCTAAGCAGAGGAACCAGCTCGGGTTGTGCACCTGATTCTGTAAAACTGCTGCTGAGCCTGTAAAATAAACAGTTCTTTCTAGTACTGAAAAAACACATAAACACAGGAAAGAAATGAATCTGGGATCACGAGGGAAATCCTGATTAGATATAGATTTATCAGTTCCCCCGCCCCTGCCCAAGAGCAGAATAATTGCGAAGAGCCCTCTATCCTTTACATTCCATTGCACAGCAGACTGTATTTAGGGAGACATACCACAAGATTTTAGATTTTTGTTTAGATCTTTGATTTATTTTTATAAGGCTCAGGGGTACATCCCTTGCTAACATGAAATGAAATCTACCAAGTAATGAAATAAGACATAAGATTTAAATTTTGTGTAGTTTCTGAGTTTTGTGTATAGGTATATTTTCTGGATTTTTAAAAAAGATGGCCCAACTATTTTGTAATTTGTATTCTTTTCAGTGAGAATGCTACATGTGGTGTGGTATGTGTGTGGTATTTTGGAATTTGGGGATTTTGTAAGCCTTTTTGTAGTACAAACATTTTTAAATTATGGTTTTACGTAGGTAATAAAAGCATATGAAGGACTTTCCTGGCGAGCCAGTGCTTAGGACTCAGCGCTTCCGCTGCAGGGGCCACAGGTTCTACCCCTGGTCGGGGGCTACGACCCCGCCTGCTGCATGGCCAAAAAAATAAAAAAAGAATAAAAGAATAAGAATTCACATAATACAAAAAAGGTATTTGGTGAAAAGTCTTTCTCCCTCTACTTGGCTAGTTCTTTACCAGAGATAGTCAGTGAATATAAAGACATAAAATTTTATGGGAATTTTTAAAGATTCAAAGCAATCTCTTTGGACCTGATGTATACATTTTGTTGCTAAATAGTGTTTGAGAATCCTATGCGAGCCCTGAAATGCTGCCATGAACAGAAGAGCAGGGGGTCAGGGACTTCACCATCAGACGGCCTGTAGCAGGAAAGGCAGTGCCACATACTGAATGCAACACTGGGCCCAGAAGCAGACTTTGGTTCCCGTTGTAGCTGTGCCTTTAATTAGCTGTGTGATTTTAAGTAAGGGTCCTCAGATTCTGTGAACCCCAGTTATTTCGTGTGTGGAGCAAGGTCAGACTGGGTAAAATAACAGGTTGTTGGGGAGGATCTTGGAGTGTGGGAGTTAGGGCTGGGATGGATGGCGGTGCCTTGAGGAGGGCTCGGTAGCTCTCACTCTGGCCTCCAGGCTGGTAGCCTCTTGGTGGGAGGCTCACAGTCCAGGGCATGCCAGTCCCCACCCCCACCCCCACCTCTGAGGGGTACGGGGCATTCCCATCCGTGACAGTGAGTGTCAGTGGAGTTAGGAGGGGCTGGGGACCCTCCCTCTCCCCACCCCGCCTGCGGTGTGGGAATTCTGCTGTGGGAATGTCCCTGTGGTTGAGAGTTACTAGTCTGAGCTTGAGAATTAGTTTGCTGAGAGCAACCAGAGTTAATCAGTCTTGTGAGGATTGGTTCATGCTAACCAGTATCATAAGCAGTGAATCTTAGTCGGGATTAATTTATTAATTGCTAGTGAACCATATACCAGAATCATCAGGTCATCAGTTTCCCATTAGAAGAGTCTGTCTGGTGAGTTCGAAATCAGAGCAAGTGGAGTTTGTAAAATGAGCTTTATTGTAAAAATCATTGTGTGATGGTGTAATTAATTCATCTCTACTAAAGGGATGTGCCTGCCCAAGGAATGAGATACATGATATCTGGCCAGGACACTCCCTGCCTTGGATCATTCGTACTAGAGACACAAGGTGAATCCTGCTCTTCAGTTCTACTTACCTTATTTCCACAGAGACCATTTCCATTCTCTCAGTGTATTCTTTTATCATCCACTACAGTGTTATTGATTTGATTAAATTCACTTCCTTCATATCTATGCTGTTTTTCTGATAGTTCATCTTAGAATTGAATGTTTAAAAATCCTAGACTTTCAGATAATTTACACATGGCTGTTTTTGTCCTATACAGATTTTTGAACAGCTTTATTGAAATGTAATTCACATATTATTAATGCTCAGTTACAGTGTACAAATGATTTTTAAATCTTGTGTAAGTGGAATCATACAATATACAGTCTTTTGTGCCTGGCTTCTTTGGCTTAGCAAAGGGCTCACCCATGTTGTAGCATGTATCAGGAATTCATTCCTTTTTACTATTGAATACATTCTGTTTCTCCATTCATCAGTTGATGGACATTTGGGATGTTTCCACATTACAAATTATGCTTCTCTGAGCATCTGTGTACAAGTTTTTGTGTGGACGTGTTTTCATTTCTCTTGGGTGATCTACCCAAGTATAGGTATACCAAGATATACCTAATATGCCTTGGGTAATAGGAGTGGCTTTGCAGGTCATATGGTAACTCTGTGTTGAACATTTCAAGGGACTGCCAGACTGTTTTCCACAGTCACTGACCATTTTACACTCCCACCAGCAGTGTATAAGGCTTCCAGTTTCCCCACTTTCCTGCCAGTACTTATTACTGTCTGTCTTTGATTAGAGCCATTTTAGTGAGTCTGAAGCAGAGTCTCATTATAGTCTTGACTTGCATTTCCCTAATGACTAGTGATGTTGAGCATTTTTAGTGGCCATCTGTATGTTCTCTTTGGAGAAATGTCCATCCAGATCCTTTGCCCGTTTTTAAACTGGGTTACTTTCTTTTTGGTTTTGAGTTGTAAGAGTTCTTTATACAGTGTAGACCCAAGTTCTTTATCAGAAATATTATTTGTAAATAATTTCTCCAATTCTGTGGGTTGTCTTTTTACTTTTTTGATGGTATCATCTTCAGCCCAAAATTTTTATCTATTTTTTCTTTTGTCACTTGCACTTGGAGTGTCATCTAAGAGATCATTGCCTAAACGAGGTTACAAAGACTTGCTCCTGTGGTTTTTTCTAAGAGTTTTACACTTTCCATGATCTGTTTTGAGTTAATCTTTTTATATGGTATGAGGCAGGGTCCAAAATCACTCTTTGCATGTGGATATCCAGTTGTCCCACCACCATTTATTCCCACTGAGTATATTTTGCTTTTATTTTTACTACTGTCGCTAGATACTCATATTTTCAGGGTATGTGACACCTTAGCTAGCTCCAGAGTGTAAAGATTTTCAGACTATTTCAGGGATGTTACTCAGACAGGAATGCACGTTAGGTGGAGAGCGTTTATGCCATCTGGCGGTCAATGGATTAAAGTATAGCACAGTCCCTTTGGGCTGGGTCCCCATCTATGGATATGTATACTTCGAAGGGAGGCAGCCATCAGTGCGTCGAATCGGTACTTAAAGAAGTCTGATTCAGGGACTCCTGGCGGTCCAGGGGTTAGGATTCGGCTCTTCCACTGCAGGGGCCCGGGTTCCACCCCTGGTCAGGGAACTAGGATCCCCAGAGCCGTTTGGTGTGGCCAAAAAAGCAGTCCAATTTTGGGCTTCCCTGGTGGCGCAGTGGTTGGGAGTCCGCTTGCCGATGCGGGGGACGTGGGTTCGTGCCCCGGTCTGGGAGGATCCCACATGCCGCGGAATGGCTGGGCCCGTGAGCCATGGCCGCTGAGCCTGCGTGTCTGGAGCCTGTGCTCCGCAACAGGGAAAAAAAAAAGTCCAATTTTAAACTTTTAGTTCCATCCTCCCATGATCTCTCTTTGTGTGCCAGGAAGGTTGATTATTTTTAGCCAAACTGATAGACCTCTGGCAACCATTGTGATCTTGGTGGTTGTACCTGCGGTTACACAGGTAATGTGTGTCATAAAGTAACCAACCCATTATCTCTGGGAGTCCTTAGAAAATTGAGAATCAGTGGAATCTCAAGCTATCATTAATTTGAGGCTTGCATGGGATTTATTATTTTATTGGATAGAGTCCTTTGATAGAAACCCCCCCCCCAAATATAATCTGCTTTATTTCCCATTTATTCTGGTATTACCATTCAATATTTTGCTTCAGGGAATGATAGTAGGACCTACCAGCAGATTCTGGAGAAGACGGATTCTTTGAGTTATTGCTCAGTTTCCAGGGAGCTGGGAAGTTTAAAGGTTTAGTTTATGTGACACTTAAAAGTCCTGAAGTCAACATTTTTAATTGTATTTAGGCATCAAACAGTCACCTTTGGCTCTTTCCCGACTGCCCTGACCTTCCCCTTACAAAGGTAAGGAGCCCTTTATTTACATAGCCTCATCTAAAGCACTCTTAGCTTTTCAGCGAGGGTAAAGCATAAATAAGTGACACCATTACACTGGAACTCGACCACATCTCTCCTCCTCCGTCCAGATTATGTGAGGGTGATTAGAATACGCTAAGTTAGGTCCTGGTTCTTACCAAGATGGCAGTTTGCCCATTTGTGGGTATTTTGTGTGTTTTTTTCTTATTTACAAACTTGGACAATAGGAGGGTACATTTAGTGCAGTAATGTAGCAGCTGTGTCCCTGAGGTTCACAGTTTGAATCTAGAGTTGTTTTTTCTTAAGTTGTTGATCTGAATGGGTGTGACTAGCGTTGACATGGATAGAGTAGGGCTTCACCAGACACCTTAATAGGATAACTGTGGCCACAGATCTAGTCTACCCTTTGCAGGTCTCAGAACTTGGTTATGTCAGTGAGCCCAGATGTAACGTGACATCTAGCTCTTTGGTTCTCCTTTTCTAGACCACAGGCAGCATTGTCCTCTGGAACAGACGCACACCAGTCAAACTTACAACACTCAGTCATGAAGCAAGATGCCAGTTTATTCATTTACAGTGAGGACTCTGTAATCTTGCCCTGTGTATTCATTGCTACTGTTTATGATGCTCTGTTCTTGGGAAGAGCAAGAAGTTAGACTGAAAATGAGAAGGCTGATTGGTAAGCAAGGAGTCAGAGGAAAGAGAAGGAGATAGTCCTGAGGGCTCGCTCAACAAGACCATGAAGAAGCCTTGGATAGTTTCCTGTCCTCAGAGAGAGGGAGCTTTCCCAGTAGATAGGGTGCGCTTGTCTGCCAGAGTCAGTATCTCTCTTTCTTGGACAGGATGGACATATTCTGTCAAATTCTTGCTCTTTGGCTGCTTTTTTCTAGACCACAAGCAGAATGCTCCTTTTCTGTACAACAGTTTTTTATTTACATATGTTAATAAAATGGATTCGCTGTAGCTCGTGTTCTTGTTTCATCAGTTGTTTCACAGTTATTTTATTTTTTATTGTTTTGGCCGTAGCACGCGGCATACAGGAACTTAGTTCCTGGACCAGGGATCAAACCCGTGCCCCTGCAGTGGGAGAGCGGAGTGTTAACCACTGGACCTCCAGGGAAGTCCCAGTTGTTTCACAGTTATGAGACTATTTGAGGCTAAACAGCTATGGCCACATGGATAATATGCGACAGTTTCTCATGTCTTTATACTTCGTGTTTACTTACCATCTCTTTCAGGCATTTAGTTTACCTCTTATCCATTATACAGACTTCTTAGTTGCTAGAAGAATCTTATCAGCAAGTTCCAGGGGGAGAACCTCATTATAACCTCCTGTATATTTAGTGTTCCTGGGACATTAAGGTCCACCTGTGCGTATTAATTCATGGATCTCAAAATAACCTCAAAAACCCCAATTATTCTTTCCCAACTTGCTCTAAACTGTCTTTTCATTCTTGACAGTATAGTCCCTTTGGCATATTATTTTAGCACCCCTAGTCTTTTTCCTTATGCACAAGGTTGGGTAAAAAAGAATAGGTATATTTCTTCTGTCTTCTGAATTTATCTGCAGGCTTTCATCAGGCCAGTTCTGGAAAAAATGGCTCCTTTCCTGCTAATAGTCTCACCCCTTAGGTTAACTCTTCTTCCTAGTGGCACTTTTTAAAAGCAAAATATCAGTGAAAAAAGTAAACAGTTGGCTTTTTGCCTGAGAAACAGTGAAGTAGGTTATAATATCTTTGCTTTTAAATCATGGCTTAATTTTTTAGCTTGTGGTTTGACACTCTCCTGTTCTGAGACGTCCCAGATCCATAGTAATTTCTATGTATTATAAGCTCTTATTTGCCAAGGCTTAAAAATAGTATATATGCTGGTACCTTCCTTTTCATCTCATTGGATTTTTGTCTGATAGTCTCTCATGCGTTTTTCCTGACTTTTCCTGCTACCCTACTCTTCTTTCTTGCTTTTATCCATAGAGTTGATTGTTTTTTAATTGAAATTTTCCAACTGCCATTTTTTCCCCATCTTATCCTCAGCGCTAATTTGTTGGATTACTAATTATGTAAAAATGAGCAAGAAAGCAAAACTTACTGCTTTTTAGCTTATTAAAACATGAAAATAGGGTTTCCCTGGTGGCGCAGTGGTTGAGAGTCTGCCTGCCGATGCGGGGGACACGCGTTCGTGACCCGGTCCGGGAAGATCTCACATGCTGCGGAGCGGCTGGGCCCGTGAGCCATGGTCGCTGAGCCTGCACGTCCGGAGCCTGTGCTCCACAATGGGAGAGGCCACAACAGTGAGAGGCCCGCGTACCGCAAAAAAAAAAAAAAAAAAAACCATGAAAATAGTTTGGGGTTTAGAGGATAATAAGTTTTTTTTAATTTTTAATTTTATATTGGAGTATAGTTGATTAATAATGTTGTTAGTTTAAGGTGTACAGCAAAATGATTAAGTTATACATATACATGTGTCTATTCTTTTTCAAATTCTTTTCCCATTTAGGTTATAACAGAATATTGAGCAGAGTTCCCTGTGCTATACAGTAGGTCCTTGTTGGTTATCTATTTTAAATATGAGTAGTGTGTATATGTCAATCCCAAACTCCCGTTCTATCCTTCCCCCCTGACCCCAGTCCTTCCCCTTTGGTAACCACAAGTTCATTCTCTGTGAGTCTATTTCTGTTTTGTAAATAAGTTCATTTGTATCATTGTTTTTTAGATTCCACATAGAAGCGATATCATATGGTACTTGTCTTGCTCTGATTCACTTAGTATGAGAATCTCTAGGTCCATCCATGTTGCTGTAAATGGCATTATTTCATTCTTTTTTATGGCTGAGTAATATTCCACTGTATATATGTACCACATCTTCTTTATCTATTCGTCTGTCGATGGACATTTAGGTTGCTTCCATGTCTTAGCTATTGTAAACAGCGCTGCAATGAACATTGGGGTGCATGTATTCTTTCGAGCCACGTTTTTCTCCAAATACATGCCCAGGAGTGGGATTGCAGGATCATATGGTAGCTTTATTTTTAATTTTTTAAGGAACCTCCATACTGTTCTCCATAGTGGCTGCACCAATTTACATTCCCATCAACAGTGCAGGAGGGTCCCCTTTTCTCCACACCCGGTGGATTAACAAGTATTTTTTTTTGGTTTGTTTTGGTTTTTTTTTTTTTCTGATAACAAGTTTTATCTTTTTCTTCCAGTTACAAAAGTAAGAAAATTTAGAAAACTAGGAAAATGAAAAATAATCATCCATATTCTACCACCCAGAGAAATCACCATTACCGTGTTCCTTCATCTTTTCTCCTATTCATATGTGTTCATATATTTTAAACTTGATTGTGCTTTGATCATAATATGTTAATTACTATATCTTTTTAATATACTTAGATCATGGTCTCAGCTTTGCTAGAAATACATTTGTATAATTTTAGATAGATCTTTTATAGGCGTTTCGTAAATATTTATTAAATGAAGTGAATGAATCCTTACCTCTCTCTGTGTCTCAGTTTCCCCATTTCTTAAGTGGGAAAATTTAATTTACAAGAGGTTTTGTAAGGATCCGTGAAAGACTGTATGTGTTGAAGCAGCTAGGTCTCATCGTCACTCTCCTGGCTGTACGGTCACAATTTTCCCCAGAGAGCCCTGCTGGAGAAGAAGCAGAGAAAGAAGCGCCTGGAGCCGCTCATGGTGCAGCCGAACCCAGAAGCCCGGCCACGTCGGTCAAAGCCGAGGGGAAGCGAGGAGCGCGCTCCGCTGGTGGAGCCTCAGGCCCCGCACAGCGGCGTCATCCTGCACGGTGTGTACTCGGGCAGCATCTCTGCCTGCTGCGGCGCGGTTTTCACAAGCCTGGGGGAGGCAGGAGGACTGTCAGGTGGACCAAAGGGACAATATTAGCATCGTTACCAGGTACCTTCGTTTATCTTTCTAATCCCATTCAGGGCCTTTGAGTTGGAATAAAAGCAGTGGTCTGATCAGTGGAGGATACCTTAAAGTTCACAGCCGTCCTGGAACTGTTGCTTTAGATGCAAAATGAAAGTGTCCAGAACTGCCCACTTGAGGAGCTTCCAGGCTCGATTGTTGCCTCCTGGCAGAGTTAACCATGAAGCCAGGAGCAGGTAGAGAGCACCCATTCTTCCAGTAGCCGGACTCAGAGGGACATCGGAGTCAGCGACGGGGTAAAGGAGGAACAGGGTTAAACAACTCTAAAGCTAGACCCCTCGGCTCCTGGTTTGGACGAGATCTGGATGGACTTCGGAGGACCTACTTGGCTTTCAGTCTCATTCTTAAGTTTCTAAAGCACAGCATCAGGTACATTTACTTTAGTGGCAGTCAGGTCGTGTTGATAAAATGAACACCAGATAATAAAATGGATTCCGCTGTTAACAAATGTCCTCGTGGATGTTAAAGAAGGAGAAGTGAAACAGTTTGGTGCTTCTTAATTCAGATCACATACACCAAAACCATCCAGCCAAATAGTGGATAATGCTTTCTTCTTTTTTCTTTATGTTGGGCCCCTAGGCATTGATGGTCCCGCTGCCTTCCTGAAGCCAGATGCTCAAGATGTGGAAACCAGACTTCACGTTCTCTCAGTAGGATCTTCTGCCACGGAGGAGGATACTGAAGGAAGTGCTGATGGAGATAGCACTTGGGACCCTGCTTCCAAGCCAGATCTTCAGGAGATTCTCCAGAAACATGGTGAGGATTGGTAACAGTTTTGAGGCAGTGAGTTAGTTAGATAAAATATAAAACAGGGAATTCTCTGGCGGTCCAGTGGTTAGGACTCTGTGCTTTCACTGCCAAGGGCCCAGGTTTGATCCCTGGTCGGGGAGCTAAGATCCCACAAGCTGCGCGATGCAGCCAAAATACATATATAAGCGCGCGCGCGCGTGCGTGTGTGCGTGTGTGTGTGTGTGTGTGTGTGTGTGTGTGTGTGTGTGTAATGTCAGCAGCATTAGCTACTGTTACGGCTATTTCCTTCCTTTTGACATTTTATTTTCGTCATCCCCACCCTGTTCCTTTGAGTTGCCCCTCAGCACCCTACCCTGCCTCTGTTTCACGGTTTATATTCCTCTAGTGATAAGGGGAGAGATAAATAGCCAGCTTAGTGGGAACACAAATTGGATCAAAATATCCTTAAACTAATAATACTTTTTCCATTAGAGCCTCTGCTTTCTGCCGGTTGGAGTTATTCTCGTAAATATTCCTGTACGCTTCAGAGGTCCTTTGTAGTCTTCTCCTTCTTAGAAAACTAATTTTATAGCGAGAAGGAATTAAGCATCCCCTTTGCAGATGAGAAGACTGACGGCCAGTAATGACTGGATGTTTGCTGGGTACCTGCTTTGTCATAGGCATTGCTGGGTACTGGGATATGTGAGTCAGGAGGTTCTACCACAGACTGGCAGGATAGATGTACATTCAAATGGATTCGTATATTCATTCATTTAGAAAACATGTATTGAGGATATGCTATATATCAGGCCTTGTTCTAGGCACTTAGGATACAATTGTGAACGAGGTTCCTGCCCTCATGGAGCATTTATTCTGATTGAGGCTTCGTGCCCCTAAATTGAGGCTTCATGGACCTAAATAGCCAAGGGAGTGTGGAGAGGGGTGCCCAACCAGAGTTGATCTGGAGGTGACATCTAAGCCAGAGCGTGATGCGGGAAGACGAGCCGGCAGCTCAGAAGGGCTGGAGTGCAGAGCGCGAGGTGACAGGTGGGAAGGGGCCTGGAGAGACATGGGCTAATGAGATGGTTTGGCTGATGGCCTGATCTCGAGCTACATTTTGGTGTATAGAGTAGAAAGCAGGAGAATTAGAACTCCACTGTGGGGCAGTGAGAGGGACAAGAACCACATGGAAGGAGGTGGCGACTAAGCTGAGGCGTGAGGGGTACGTGTGCTTCTGTGCACAGCTGTCAGCTCAGGAGCGGCTGGAGACTGGCACTGTGAATGTCTTTTGCTTGTCAGGCACTTGACATACCTTATCTCAGTGTTTGTGACAGTACTGTGAGGGGTTACACGTGTCAGCCTCTCCTTTTCACATGTAAGAAAATTGGCTCTCAGAAAGGCTAAGTAATTCGTTCTAGATCACACCGCTAGTTGGTTAGGTGGCAGACTTGGGCAGAAGAAATTACGTTAGCAGAGGCATCAGGTGTATAGAGCGTGATGTATTTGTGGAAACTGGGGCAGGGTGTGGCGTGATTTAGGGCTCAGCTCTGGGGCCAGCCAGCGTGGTTTGGAGTCTCAGCTCTGCCACCTCTGGCTGGTAAAGGGGAAAGCAGCACAACTTTTCTCTGCCTCAGTTTCCCTGTCTGTAATGTGAATGTGGCCATGGTAATTCTGTTACTTTCCTATCGTTATTATAACAAGAGATAGTGAAAGATGTGGAGGAGCCAGAGCAAAGAGAACTCTCAGTTTAACCAAAAGCTAGATTACTTACCGCAGGTCATCGAGCTGAATAGCGGCAGACCTAGATTTTCTGAGTCTTAGTCTAGCTCTTGATCCCTTACTGTAAATACCAAGCTGTCCCTTGTACTCTGCCCTATTAAATGACCGCTGTGTTCTTTCTCAGAATTGGCCTTTCAGGACCAGATGGGTTAATGCCTTTTTAAGTCTGAACAAGTTGCATCTGGACCATAGAAGCCATTAAGTGCTCTCTTGACTAAGACTTAAGAAGTGTCAGTTTGGAAGATAACGTTCCTCGAGTGGGGATCCAGTTTGCTTGTCTTACAAGTTTGGGAGAAATCCTTGATCTCCATCTTAAAACATGTATTCACATAAACTGAGTTCTTGGTACAAATATGGCATTTGGAAGCATAGTACTAACATTGTAAATCACGTATACTTCAATTTTAAAAAAAACAAGAAAACGTAGTACTGAGTGAAGGCACCCACGTGAGAGTGAGATCCCTAGAGTTTTATGCGTTTTGCTACCCGTCCCCAAAAGTTAACGTTTTAGGAAAGAAAAAAGAAAGAAAGAAATGTCCTTCACAAACCAAAGAATTTTTAAAATAATAGCTTTATTGAGATATAATTCACATACCATACAATTCACCCATGTAAAGTGAACAATTGATTGGGCCTTCAGTATATTCACAGAGGTCTGCAGCCATCAGCACAATCAATTTTAGAATGTTGTCTGACGCCAAAGAAACTTCATACCTGTTAGCAGTCACTTCCCATTTCCCTCCATCTCCCCATCCCTGGGCAGCCGCCAGTCTACTTTCTGTCTCTGCAGATTTGCCTATTCTGGTGTTTCATATAAACAGAATCAGTCATACACTCTGTGGTCCTTTATGCCTGGCTTTCACTTAGCATCATGTTTTCAGAGTTCATCCATGTTGTAGCCTGTGTCAGTGCTTCGTTCTTTTCTGTCGTTGAGTCACATTCCGTTGTATGGATAAGCCATGTTTTGTTCCTCCCTTTATCAGTTGATGGGCATTTGAGTTGTTTCCACTCTGGCTATTATGAATAATGCTGCTATAAATAGTTACGCATAAGTTTTTGTATGGACATATGTTTTCACTTGAGATTTTTTAACTGGCTTTAGTCTTATCCTTGGGTGTCCTTGAGAAAAACTTGATACCATTTATTTTGTGAACTATGTAAAACAGACCACCATTGTCCCTCCTCTGAGGTAGATGAATGTGGGCAGCACTGCTTGTTGTTCAGTCTCCTTGTCATGTGTGACTTGAGGGCTGTTCCAGCTGTTGTATGAGGGGTGACTTTACCTTGTAGACCACAGAGAAAAGCGAGGTGGGTCTCTCCCGTAGCTCTGCCCCTTTCTCCTGGGCAGAAATGCTTCTCCTGGAGCATCATCCTCTCACGTGTAAATTTGAGTGTCGTGCTTCTTTTGTAACACACAGCACACTTTGTGTCCCGTAAACAAGCAAGAGACAAAACAAAAAATAAGACTTGCCAGTCGCTCCTCCTCAAACTCATATAAATGTGAGGATAAAATGAAAAAATAGTTTTTAATCAGATAGTTTGAAGTTTTCTGTAAAAGGTCCAAGGTAGTAATACTTCAAACATTCCCATTTCGGGGGCTTCCCTGGTGGCGCAGTGGTTGAGAGTCCGCCTGCCGATGCAGGGGACGCGGGTTCGTGCCCCGGTCCGGGAAGATCCCATGTGCTGCGGAGCGGCTGGGCCTGTGAGCCATGGCCGCTGAGCCTGCGCCTCCGGAGCCTGTGCTCCGCAACGGGAGAGGCCACAACAGTGAGAGGCCCGCATACTGCAAAAAACAAACAAACAAACAAACAAACATTCCCAACTCAAATTAGTTCACAAGACTAACGATGAAAAAAATGTAGGAAAACAAAGAAGTAACTGATAGAGACATCTATTGCGGTAAAATGTGCGTAGCGTTTACCATTTTAACCGTTTGTAAGTGCACACAGCTCAGTGGCATTAGGTACATTCACATTGTTGTGCAGCCATCACCACCATCATCTCCAGAACTTTCTCATCTTCCCAGACTGAGACTCTGTCCCCATCAAACACCAACTCCCTATCCCCTGCCCCACCCCCAGCTCCTGGCAACCTCTGTTATACTTTCTGTCTCTATGAATTTGACTATTCTAGGCCTCATAAAAGTAGAATCATAAGGTATTTGTCCTTTTTGTGTCTAGCTTGTTTCACTTAGCATAATGTCTTTAAGATTCATTCATGTTGTAGCCTGTGTCAGAATTTTATTCCTTTTTAAGGCTGAATAACATTCTATTTATGTATATACAAAAGTTTGTTTATTCATCAGTTGGTGGATATTTGGGTTGTTCCCACCTTTTGAAAACTGAATAATGCTGCTGTGAACATTGGTTGTTCAAGTATCTGTCTGAGTCTCTGCTTTCAGTTCTTTTGGGTATACACCCAAAAGTGGAATTCCTGGATTATATGGTAATTCTGTATATATATTTTTAGGAACCACTATGTTGTTTTTTACAGTGGCTGCATAATTTTGCATTTGCCACCAGCAGTTCCTCCACATCCTCACCAACACTTATTTTCTGTTTTTTGGATTTTGTTTTTTATAATAATCATCCCAGTGATTGTCAGGTGGTTTCTCACTGTGATTTTGATTTGCATTTCCCTAATGACTAGTGATGTTGAGCATCTTTTCATGTGCTTGTTGGCCATTTATGTATCTTCTTTGGAGAAATGTCTGTTCAAGTCCTTTACCCATTTTTAAAAAATTATTTATTTTTATTTATTTATTTTGGGCTGCGTTGGGTCTTCGTTGCTGTGCGCGGGCTTTCTCTAGTTGTGGCGAGCGGGGCCCACTCTTGGCTGCGGTGCACGGGCTTCTCACTGCGGTGGCTTCTCGTTGTGGAGCGCGGGCTTCAGTAGTTATGGCACGCAGGCTCAGTAGTTGCGGTTTGCGGGCTCTAGAGCGCAGGCTCAGTAGTTGTGGCACTCAGGCTTAGTTGCTCCGCGGCATGTGGGATCTTCCCGGACTAGGGCTCGAACCCGTGTGCTCTGCATTGGCAGGCGGATTCTTAACCACTGTGCCACCAGGGAAGCCCTCTTCCCCCATTTTTGAATTGGGTTTGTTTTTGTTGCTGTTGAGTTATATATTCTGGATATTCATCGTTTATCAGATATATGATTTGCAAAAGAGGATAAATTAGGGAAGGGAACAGCAGGAAGGGAAAACAAGGGATGGATCCAGGTGAGAATATGAAGAAAGAATTGTCAAAATTTGGATTAAATAGCCATGTTTTAAGTCAGAACAGCTTGGAATTTTTAAGCAAGGAAGTTAAAATTATATTTGGTTCAAAGGTCTCTGGCCCTTTTTGACAGTTTCTCCCTTTCTGCCAGGGATCTCAGGGAGTTTGAACTTTGATGAGGAGGAGACTGATGGGGAGGAAGGAGAAGGGAAAAAACTAAGATCTCATTCGTCCTCTTCAGAGGCAGAGAGACCCAGTTCTGCATCCAGCCAGAAGCCAGCCACAGTATGTAGCTCTGAAACTTTTTCCTCTGAGCTGATTTCACTGCCTCCTAAGCATCTCCGCTATTTAAATGCCATTACTGGACGAGGGCTGCTTCAAAGATTTAAGCTGGAATCCACACTTAAAGCCCACCACTCCCTAATTTCTTGTGTCTTGAACCAGCTTCTGTGAAGCCGTATCCCATTTTCATACTTTGCTGTTTCATTACTCCCAATATTCGTATACCTATTTAACTTCTCAGAGTTTTTGCCTACCTTGTCAGAAGACTGAGACATACAGGTTAATCAGTAAGTTATTTTGTCCTTTAAGTGTTTCTCAAAGAGAATATGAGGTTTCCTGACCCAGCCGCCTACTGCTCACATGTGGCTGTTCTTTCAGGATACAGGAGCTTCCGGAACTGCAGCCCAGCACACTGATAATCAGCTGGGAGAAATAGAGAATTTAGAGGGCTTCGCATACAGTCCTGCCCCTCGAGGTGTCACAGTGAAGTGTCGGATAACTCGGGATAAAAAAGGAATGGATCGGGGGCTTTTCCCTACCTACTATATGCACTTGGAAAAGGACGAAAATCGGAAGGTATGAGAAGTGGGTCTTTTTTTTTTTTTTGGCTGTGTCAGGTCTTAGTTGTGGCATGTGGACTCCAGAGTGTGTGGGCTCAGTAGTTGAGGCACTGGGCTTAGTTGCCCCGAGGCATGTGGGATCTTAGTTCCCCGACCGGGGATCGAACCAGCGTCCCCTGCATTGGAAGGTGGATTCGCAACCACTGGACCACGAGGGAAGTCCTGAGAAGTGGTTCTTAAGACAGATCTTGAGATGGAGGGAAGAGTGCTGTACAGGGCTGGGTCGTTGATGGTCTTACGATGGGGGGTGGGGATGGGGGAGCACCGTTATTCGACAGGAACTAGGTTGTACTTACTAGTTCCCAAGTGCTGTGTTCTCACTGTCTTCAAAGAGGTCAGAGTCTAATAGTCAAAACCTGCCCACTCCGCAAAGAGAAAGTTTTATCCAGAAGGTAACAAGATGGAAGAGACTATTTGAATGTAATTATTTTTACCTCCATCCCTTTTTTTGGGGTGGGGGAGTTTCCAGTGTGCTCTTTGATTTTGATTTTGATTATGACAGTGTGGAAGAAAGAAGGGTTTAGGGAATAGGAGGAATTGGAAAAACAGAAAACATGCAAGTGGAATGTCTTGTTTTTCATCCTAGAAATTCTAATTTACTTTACACATAAATTTGAGGCAGTTAATACTTGCTAATGAACAATGTATTTTGTAATACCAGGTCTAAGTGGATGATTTTAAGAGCCTAGAAATGTGGGCTTCCCTGGTGGCGCAGTGGTTGAGAGTCCGCCTGCCGATGGAGGGGACACAGGTTCGTGCCCCGGTCCGGGAAGATCCCACATGCCGCGGAGCGGCTAGGCCCGTGAGCCATGGCCGCTGAGCCTGCGCGTCCAGAGCCTATGCTCCGCAACGGGAGAGGCCACAACAGTGAGAGGCCCGCGTACCGCAAAAAAAAAAAAAAAAAAAGAAAAGAAAAAAGAAAAAAAAAGAGCCTAGAAATGAGATGATGATAGTAGATATTAATGTTGTTATAACCACTATCTACTGAGTGTTTACAATTACCAGGTGTGTGCTAAATGCTTTATGTATATTATTACCTACAACCCTTAAGACAACGCTGTAAGATAGGATTTCTTATCCCAGCTTAGGGAATGCCCCAAAACACACTAAGAAGTGGCAGAGCCAGATTGAAACCTGTATCTATTTGATTCCAAAGTGCCCCCCTCCCCTTAGTTACCGCCCTCTCCTGCTTCCTTATTATTGTCCAGGTCTGGGGGTGTTTGGGAAGGATGCATAAATATGACAGTACTCGTATCACGGAAGTCACAGGAGTTTAGAACAACAACATACAAAATGCAGCAAGAAGCATCAGGAAAGCCGTTGCAGGGAGAATGGGAAGCACAGGGTCCAGGGTCCTGCCTCTTCCAAAGGTGGAAAGACTCTTACTCATGAAATTGGATGAAGCTTTTTAAAAAAGTCACTGGAGGCTTTAGGGATAAAGTTGTAAATAATGATATGGAGAATCAAGCTAGTGAATTTAGAAAAATTGTGCAGTAGGGAAACCCTGATAGTGAATTCTGAGAAGCATTATGAGGATTAGAAAAAGTGATAAGGACCCAGAGATTGGTCTTCTCTCAGAAAACCCCAAATGGCAGGTACACTGGTGCTACGATAGGGCATGGAGGCCCCTCAGGGGCCCGAGGCCACAGAGCTTGTGGGGTCAGGGCCGGGGGCAAGGATTGGCTACCCCTCACCCAGCTGGGCCGCCTGGTCAGGGCTCTGGAGGAGACCCATCTCTTCTGCTCATGCAGCCGGGAATCCGAGATGACTGACTCTTCCCTGGGAGCATCCCTCCTTCAAGGATGAGGTTTTGACAATGATGCCTGAGCATATAACCCATTCTGCCCTGCGGCCCAGGGTCAAGGCATTTGTTGCTATTGGGGGTTGCAGTGGACAGATGCTGGTCTGGGTGTTCAGTGCTCCAAGGAGATCGCCACTGCCATCATGAGGCCGTCGTTCTGGCCAAGTTCTCCGTAGTCCTCATGTGGTGAGGCTACTGGGGGAACAGGATCGGCCGGCCTCAGACCATCCCTGCAGGCTGACCGGCCACTGTGGCTCTGGGCCGGTGCCTCTCATCCTGCCCCGGGACACTGGCGTCATCCCAGCCGCTGTGCCCGAGAAGCTGGTGCTGGCCGGCGTGGACGATGCTGCACCTTGGCCAGGGGTTGCACTGCTGCCCTGGGCAGCTTTGCCAAGGCCACCTCTGTGCTGTCTCCAAGACCTAGGCTGCCTCACCCCCGAGCTCTGGAGGGAGACCATGTTCACTGACTGTCCCTGTCAGGGGTTCACTGAGCGTCCTGTAATGACCCACACCAAGTCTCCATGCGGGAGACCCAGTCTCCAGCTGTGGCCACCACATCGTTTTTCTGCAAGAAAAGTCAAAGTGAATTAAACCTGTTTAAAAAAAAAAAGACCCAGAGATGGACTGCTTGGTACATGATAGGCAGTTGCTAAATATTTGCTAACTACATAGGTAGGACAAACATGGCAGTTCTCTTGAGTGCATTTTTTACTGAAAAATTTTTTTCCTTTTCTAGATATTTCTCCTTGCAGGTAGAAAGCGGAAAAAGAGCAAAACATCCAACTACCTTATCTCCACTGATCCAACAGATTTATCTCGTGGAGGGGACAGTTATGTTGGCAAACTCAGGTGAGAGCAGCCTTGTATCCTGTCAGGTGAGAGCAGCCTTGTGTCCTGTCGGTGAAAGCAGCCTTGTGTCCTGTCAGGTGAGAGCAGCCTTGTGTCCTGTCCTGCTCTTCTGATGGTCTGATTCCTGTAGTTTCAGAACAATCCATATCGGTTTTACAATGAGCCGGTCGATGTCATCTAAAAAAATTAAGTTAATAGAAAGTCTAAGGCCCTTCCTTGTTTTAAGGCTAGATCTTTGAGAAAGCGACGATGACCCCTTGACCTTTGGAGAGTGGGCCGAGAGGCTGTCCCATACCTCTCCTACCTTGTGTTTGTATGGGAGAAAAATACAGATCATTGTGGTGGCTTTTTCTCTTGATTCTAGGTCCAACCTCATGGGGACCAAGTTTACAGTTTATGACCATGGTGTCAGCCCGGCCAAGGCCCAGGGTCTGGTAGAAAAGGCCTGCATGCGGCAGGAGCTGGCCGCCGTCTGCTACGTGAGTGCCGCCTCCCGTTTCCTCAGCCTCCTGGCGTCCCAGCCCTGGGCTTGCAGTCCGCCTCCCAAGCTTGTCTCTGTATACTCAAGTTGTTTACGGATTGCCAAGTGTAGCTGTATTTACTGTTTCAGCCACAGCCCTCACGCATCTCCTCTTCTCTTTTCCCAATGCTGCCGTGTTAACGCAGGCCTTCGTTACCCCTTACCCGTTGGCTCGCGGTTACCGTAAATTGGGAGCCCGTCTCTGCTTTCCGCCCTCTCGACCTGGTTCATCCTGTACAGCCGCTGCTGAGCGGTCCAGCTCCAGCTCATGCTGCTCTTCTCCTGCTCCATATCCTCTCCGGCTGCCCCTGGAGTCCAGAATCAAGCCTGGACACTGCACCTTTCCCTTCCGGCTCCCCGGGGGGCACGCTCCCTGTGCGTTCCCATCATTCTAGCCGCTCCTCTCGTCCCTGCGCCCCACCTGAGAGCCTGCCGTGCCCCTCCTTGCCTCTGCCTGTCCACCAGCGTCAGCAGAGGGGGTCTCTCCCGACACTAGATGTGCCTGATGCTCCCCTTGGTTCCCCGCGCTTCCTCTAGGGCCCCAGGCTGCTTCTTTAGCACCACCCTTCTCTAGCAGTTCGTAAAGCCCCATTCACTGCTGTTTCCACGTGAACACGGACCTGGCGCGTAGTGGGCATGTGAAGTTGTGGAGTCAAAGAAGCAAGAAGGAATTAACCCGACTCAGTTGTTACTTTGATCCCAGAGTCTCAACTTTCCATCAGTTGGAATTAATCTCATCACTTGATTCCCATGAGATTTTATCTAAGTGACTGAGAATCATTTGACTTAACGCTTTATAATGTATAGATGTCTTCTCTTAGCTTCAGAATCAATGAAATATTTTAAATGTGCATGACTTTGTGTGTATGTATACGAATACACATATATCCATGTATTTAATGTACTTACTTTATTCATATATAATCTGCCTGGTTTGACGGGCATTTGATTTTTTTTTACCTCCAGATACAGGTCCTATTTAATTTAAACTGTAATTCTCACTCTGTATCATATAGTGCCGGGTCCTCACTGGGAAATCGATATTTATTGAAGATGACAAAGTTGGACAGTTTGCTCATAACTGTCTGAAATTTCACTTAAAGCTAAAGAGTGAGAGTAGGGTTTCGAGCCTGTTGAGTGTTTTAAATTCGGATCAGGTTTAAAAAGAGGAAACAGCCTTATTTTCCTGGGCTTGATTCTCTGTCTCTCTTTGTTTAACTGCAGTGAAGTAATAGAATAGTGTTTAGCGCTCTCCACATTGTCCCCGTTTTACACGCCCGGGAGGGCCTTGTGTTAAGAATGAGGTCTTAAAAAAAAAAAAAAAAAAAAAAAATGAGGTCTTGTGGGCCTCCCTGGTGGTGCAGTGGTTAAGAATCCGCCTGCCAATGCAGGGGACACAGGTTTGATCCCTGGTCCGGGAAGATCCCACGTGCCGCGGAGCAACTAAGCCCGTGCGCCACAACTACTGAGCCCGTGTGCTGCAACTACTGAGCCTGCACTCTAGAGCCTGCGAGCCACAACTGCTGAGCCCATGTGCCACAACTACTGAAGCTCGTGTGCCTATAGCCTGTGCGCCTACAGCCCGTGCTCCACAACAAGAGAAGCCACTGCCATGAGAAGCTCATGCACCACGACAAAGAGTAGCCCCCACTAGCCGTAACTAGGGAAAGCCGCGCGCAGCAACGAAGACCCAGTGCAGCCATAAATAGATAGATAGATAGATAGCAACGAAGACCCAATGCAGCCATAAATAAATAGATAGGTAGGTAGGTAGATTGATAGAAAGGAAATGCATGGTATTAAAAAAAAAAAGAATGAGGCCTCGTCTTCATTTCTGTGTCAAGTTCCTGTTTATTTCCCTCTCTTCCAGGAAACAAATGTACTCGGATTTAAAGGCCCGAGGAAAATGTCTGTGATCATCCCAGGGATGAATATGAATCATGAACGAATCCCATTTCAGCCACGAAATGTAAGTAAGAGCATATTTCATCAACAAAGGACCCTAACAACAAGACTGCGATACAGGCAAGATGAATAGAAAACAGTGTCGATTCCTCCCGGGCCCAGCCTGGAGAGTGGCCCACTCTTCCTCAGGAGAGCCAGCCCTCCAGACCTCGGGGTAGGTGCTGTTGCTAACGTGGTTGATTTGCAACCACTGGGTCTGCAAAGAGAAACACTAGTTATTCTATAAGAATCCAACAAAGCCGGCTTAGTTTTGGCTCTGTTTCTGTTCTACTTGCTGAAACGGAGGAAATAGGCCCCTGCTCTGCTTCCCGCCTCAACAGCCTTGAGGGTGAGCGCTTGGCGATGGTCCTCAGCACGCACCCCTCTCCTACAGGACCGCGAGAGCCTGCTTTCAAAGTGGCAGGACAAAGCCATGGAGAACTTGATCGAGCTGCACAACAAGTCCCCCGTCTGGAACGATGACACCCAGTCCTACGTCCTGAACTTCCATGGCCGGGTCACTCAGGCCTCTGTGAAGAACTTCCAGATAGTCCACGAAAATGACCGTAAGCCCCAGGAAGAGAGGTGTTCTGACAGAACTCGGAAATGAGCATTGCCCTTCATTGGTAGGAAGTTATACTCAGGAGAGCATGATTTAAGAAAGAAATGACCTCCTCGGAAAGACAGAGCTACAGTCTTGGCAGTCAGCCGTCTGAGCCGCTGAGTTGAGGGCAGGAGCGTGTGAGGGGTCTCTTGTGGCAACCGGTGGAGTCCTGGGGGTGCTGCTCGGGGGGCAGAGGCAGAGGCCCTTCCTCAGGAAAGGTTCTTGCCCTGCCAGCCCCCCCACCCGAGTTTGCGCTGCCCCCCTTGCCCTTCTGGCCCCCCTCAAGTTTGCGCTGCCCCCCCTTGCCCTTCCGCCCCCCCCGAGCTTGCACTGCCCCCCC